ACCCCCCCCCCCCCCCCCCCTCCTCTTGCAAGGGAAGCAGGACTGGCTGCCTGCAGATGTGTGGATTAGCTTCTCAAAAGCTGGAAGGTTTGAGCATACGATCCCCGAGAGAGAACTGAACACTCGGATAGTGACTGCCCTCCCCCCCAATTCCTCCTCTTTTCCTCTAAAAGCCAGTCAGCACCAACAGCTGCCGTGGCAGAGGGGTTGATCTCTCAGCAGCAGAGTGAAGGAAGTAATTGGATCGAGGACTGAGATTTACTCCATTTGGTTATGGTTGAAGCACAGCCTCGCTAATTTCTTTGAAAAAGAGGAAGATAAACAAGGACAACCGTTCTCTTGTAATAGGTCACATGGGTTGCATTTCTTCTGTGAAGAGCTCCTGAATTAGCTTCAGTTTAAAAGCGAACAGTAAGCGAGTTTCACTCAAGGTACTGCGCTAATGGTATTCTTAGCTAATCATAATGGGCTCGCTAATGGTCCCAAATGACTTCGTCTGAATGCTCGTTATGTTAATGGTTCATGTGTAACGCATTTTTTTTTTTTTTTCCCCTCTATCTAGAAAATATTTCATGGGAGTCATTTAACGCATTGTACACATAATGTCAACTTAAACACCCTCTCCTTATCAATCATCCTGCCATCCATGACCACGTTGATCTCTCAGGAAGAGCTGATCGGAGGTGGGGACACAACTCGCATAAGCACTAGCCAGGGTTAGACCATTTTCTGTGGGTCCGGGCTGTTCTATGATTGGTAGTGTACATGCCGGCTGCTTCATGTTGTTCCGGAGGGTCCCGGGTCGCCTGCCAAGCAGACACATCAGCCATCTGCGCCAGGCGCTTGGAGCACATCTTTCTGGGCTCTCAGGTCCCTCCTCAGTCTCGGCGCCTCAGAGGTTCACGTTGGGTCACTCTCTCCGAGCAGAGCAGCCTGGACAAGAACTGAATATCTAAGTGCAATGAAGTGCAAGACTGGAGAGACAGCTGCCAGGAAAATAAAGTTATGCACATAGAGGTTTTTTGTTTTTTCCTCTCTGGTAAATGACATCTCTAATCTGCTAACAAGGGAATGCAAAATTCTGCCAAATCGAGATCCACGTCGAAATCTGTTGTTTTGGGATCCCCATCGTGATAATGAGTCTGATTTTAACGAGGAAGGGAAACAGACCTGGAGATTAAATTGAATGTGAGTGGGAGTGCAGTACTCATGCATGAGTGGCAATGTGTGGTGTGCTGGGTGGATGGTCTGTGTGTCAGTCTCTGGGACCGCGTAGCTGTCTGTTTCGTGATCTTGGCAAGATGAAAGCGTGCTGGTGACCTTGGGTAGCTCATGCATAGTGCCCTTGACAACAGGAGTTCTTGTCATCACCGGCAGAGGATTTCCCCACCATGAAATTGCTCGCACGCACGTTCTTCCTGGCTCATGAACCCCGTTGCGAGACGCGAGGATCACAAGTAACGTCGGACAAGCTCCCCTGCTCATCAGCTTATGAGGCCTCCCTCCGTCTATAGTGGCAAATGGCATCACAAATCTTCACCGATGCGCTGCTTTCACAGACCTCCGTATCTGCGACACACATTTATCAGGGGCCAAGAGACACGTTTGTAAGTAATTAATCACAGACGGAGCGTCTGGCTGATGAATGGCAGCGTGCGGCAGGAGACAGGCGGGGGATTAGCCAGCAGACCCAATCTCTCCTCGCTATCGTGGTGCCACCCCTGTTAATGAAGCCATCTTTGACAAATGCGGATGAGTGTCGCTTAGTAAACACAGCGAGTCGAGCGACAAGGAGGGAGGGGCCGGCTTTCATCCAGCCTCCTCAACCTTCCCGCTGCTTTGAGGAAGCTGAGCGTAGCTGCATTAACCCAGTTTGCTGTGCATTGTAGTTGGCAAGCTTGAGGAGAAGAGGCAGCACTTCGAGATGGGCTCCCTAATCAGAGGAGACCGTTGTGGTGGTACGGTATGGTGCCGTAAAGCTGTGGTGCGTTCCTCGGAGCCCTCTGTTCCTCCCAGCATGCACGGCGTTGTCAGCTTTGCCTCTTTGTACCAAGCTATAAAAAGATCTGGAGTTGATGAATGTTGCTCTTACAATACAGCATCTGCATGTTCACGCTTAAGTACATCTAAGGTTCATAATACTATGGTCCAATGGAATGGAGTTTAGGCTAATTACATTTCTGAAAACCCCTATTTCCCAGCAGCATCTCTCCCTGTTCTTTAATTAATCTTATTGTAAATCCTGATTTAGCAGAGCAGGCTCACTCTTATATGATCACTTATTGTAAGAACTGAGTAAATATTTGACCCAACTAATGAATTGGCAAATAATATATTTGATATCATTGCGTGAAGACATCTGACAGAGAGAGCAGCATTTAGCGAACACATAATTGTAAAAAATGGCAGGGATGTAAATCAGTATGCTCATTATTTATAATCCTAATGGAGGTTGAATAATTACTTATTCCACACCTAAATTGAGTTCCACATACTGCTCACCAGCCATACATTGATGGATCACCCCGTGAGCTAAATGAGCAAATCATTTAACAAAGTTTTGCACTCGTACGGAGTGCACTGAATATTTATAATCCGTAACACAAGGTTTTTTCTTCATTAGGGAAAAAAAGAGCAAGCTGAGATTTAGATAATTGCTGTATTCAATGATCAGTGTAATTAGTTGCTGGCAAACTCCAAGTGAAGGAATTTTAATGTTACATGAGTCATGACAGCCCTGTGGTGCAGTTATCGGGGGAAAACAAAGCAGGGGGTTCAGAGACGTGTAAATTGTGCGGAGGAAGAAGACCTCTGAAACGTGTGAGAAGTCGACCCTGAGTGCTGGCGTGTGACATTTAGGGAATTCATTTTTTGAACTTGATTGAAATCAGAGGAATTGGAGTGATGTATAGAGTTCATGGCACACTACTGCACGTTTTTCGTTCATACTGGTCTGCATTCTAGCTGCCTTTTCCGCGGCTCCTTAACTGTTTGCGGTTGCACTATTTTATGAGTACGTCTCTCTCATTCTCCTCCTCCTCCTCCTTCTGCTCCTCCCATCTTTTACTCTGAAAGGTAACTACTACGGGACCCCGAAGCCGCCGGCAGAGCCCAACCTGGTGCAGCCGGACCTGGTGGATCAGGTGCTGTTTGATGAAGACTACGGTGGTGAGGGCCCCAGGAAACGCACCACCTCAGTCAGTAAGATGGACAGGAAGGACAGCGCGGTCCCTGAGGAGGAAGACGATGATGAGAGGCCACCGCTGGTCAATGGACTGCCTGGTCAGTGAACGTCAAAGCACAGAATGTCATGTTAAATAATGGAGATTCCAACCGTACTCTGTTTGTCCTTTGGTTGTGGGATTGCCATGTTAGGTCACTGTCACTGTCTGCTGTGAGACATGAAGACTTTGTCTGGTTGCAGATTGTTTACCGTTTGATGGGGCCCAGTGGGTGTTTGAGGAAACTACAGTACTGTCACATAAAACGGCATTAATAGATTCCCCTCCTGGGCAGCTTGATCATCCCTCTTAAGCTCTCGTCCCATCCCCTTCTCGTTCGTTTGTCATTCGAGGTTGTAGTGTTTTTGCACACCCAGATCAAATTTTGAACTACCGGTGCAAACTCTGTTTGAGAACTAACTTGAAAAATTTGACCTGACAAAACCTGGATACGCTGGCGATGCCGTCACTATTTGTTACCTTCTACTACGTCAAGCAGGACATCCTTCTCAGCTCTTTGAGGAACAAATCTGTCCTCTGATGCTCACGAGGAGAACGGCGCTTGCATCAGAAATGGGTTACATACTGTGCGCCATACCCGGGTATTGACAGCGAAAGAGTTGGAGTTAACGGGGAGGCAAGTCCGAGCTGAAAATGGTGTTTTTCTTTCCAGAATGAAACATTGTTTTGACAGTCACGGCTCAAACACTGCTTGCTCAGCTGTACAAAGGATTCACATAAATCCAAAGTCTGTTTACCCAAACGCTCTGTCAGAATGAAATCAAACAGAGAATGATGCCCAAACATCCAGGAGTTCTTTTTATGGAAAGAAACCAGTCACAAATGACTGCCCGTAGCTGTTGCAGAGTGGTCTCAGACCAGCCATAGATGGGCAGAGTTATGCTCAAATGAAAAAAGAGGTAAATGGAAAATGTGAGCTCTAAGTCTCTCAACTCTTGACTGCAGCTTCGCCCCGTCTTTTCTCGGACTGTCCTTATCATAACCCCCCCACCACCACCACCATTGCCCCTCTCCCCAGCAGTCCCTCTTTACGTGTATCACTGAGTGGGCCCTCACCCCGCCGCGAACCGGGTGACCTCAGCTCTCCTTCAGGCTCTGCCCTCCGGCTGGTTCTCCAAGTGTTTACTTGGCTCTTCAAACACATGTGCCTTCAATCTGTGCGTTTGTGCCTTTTAAATCAAATATAAAGTGTGTGCTTCTGATCAGAGAGACAAAAAGAAAAAAAGCGTTTTGGATGCTGCAAATGGGACTCTGTGTTTGGATTTTCAGCAATTATTTATTCAATCTAAAATTCAGGTGGAATGATCAACCCAGAAACGTGGCGTGCGAAACATCTTTCAGCATCATCATCTGTTGTGAGGAGGTTAGCGCTGCACAAAAGAACGGGATGAAAATAACTCGCGTTTCATCCCTTTATACCCGTCTTTGAGGGAAGGTGTGAAATGCTAAGTGAATTAGGAGAGCCTTTGTTGTATGTTTCATGTTCATTGTCGACCAGGTTCTCATTAATGGGTGGCTGTACAAAAGCAACAGTGTATAAGTGAAGAGCAGCAGTACAGTGTTATCATACAGAAATGTACTTAGGCTCAAATGGCTCTTTCTAATGTGAGTCCATGCCTCTGTCGTTGCAACCCTCAGGGAGTGTACGTGTACATATCCATAAGCATTAACACTGTGTGCACATGCAAATGCAAAAACAGCCCTTTGGCGAACACACACCATCACATGCAAATCCTATGAGCGACACAGCTCTTCCTTCACTCCCCTGCATCACGAATGAAAACAGGAGGGCAGAGGTGTTCCTGCAGGCTAACCATCCACTCTGCTCGGTTTTCTCCCTCTTTTACCTCTTATCTCTCTCTCTCTCTATAAAGAGCACAAAGAGGGGGCAGACTGGAGAAAAGCAGTGCCCAGCTACAACCAGTCCAGCAGCTCCATGGACTTCCGCACATGGAGCTCTCTGCCCCGCGATGACAGCCTGGAGCCCCTGCCCCTTAACTGGGAGATGGCTTACACTGAGACCGGCATGGTCTACTTCATAGAGTAAGTGACAGACACAACACACGGGTCGTGAGACCATTTGGTGCAGAAACAATTAGTCAACTGACCAATTGATAAACATCAATTGTAATTCATCACTATTTTTAGTGAGCATTTAATTAATTTAGATGCCAGACGTTTGAAGGTTCCATCCTCTTCCAATATGAGGATTCACCGTTTTGTACCTAAGAAACTGGCTACTGAGGGAAAAGTATACATCAGGCAATATTTAGTATTTTCTTATTTCAAACAAATGCCATTAAAGGGTAGACTTTTTTCTTTTAAGAATACAGACTGTTGTAAAATATGTGACAACACAGCCTAACTCTAAAACTCTAAAAGTGGGCAAAGTGGTGGATTGTCGGTGGAGTTGAGGCGGGCCCAAGTGTGGTGGCAGCGAGATCGCTAGCAACTAGCGACCTGGTACTAGCGACCACCCACCTGTCACTCCAAGCAGCCCTGTCAACATTTAAACGTTATATAAAAATTCATCCCCCCCGGGGAATGGGGAGATCAGCCATAGAGAACAAACTGTTTTATGTGTACCAGGCTGTAAACATGTTTATTTCTGTGGCATTTTAACATGGGGATGTATGAAGATTGACTCACTTTTTGGAGCCAGGCTCAAGTGGCCATTTGAGGAACAGCAGTTTGGGGCACTTCCGTGATGGCTTCATCTCTCATCTGGAGGTTGCCACTCTACTACATCCCTCTCAGCTAGATAAAGATAAGGTTGAAAATCAGCAATTTTTTACCTTTAAAAGACCTCAACGATTAATTGATTCTAACAAGAATTGTCTGCTAAGCTGTTGCCAAAATCTACCTCAACATACTCCAGTTAGAGTAAAGCTATGTAAGAGAAATGAGTTAGCCCTTTCTTTGATAAATCAAAGTTGATTACAATAGCAGAAATATAGAATGACAGAAGCCGTAACAGTAAGATGAGGCTTCAGGTATATATGTTATTAACTGGATCAGGTGTGACACAGTCTGTATGCCGGCTGATGAAGAAGGGAATTTAGGTCAACTGACGACTAGGGTGTTGTTACTTATGTAAACCATGTCATCTTACAACTGCAGCGGGGTATGTCGTAAGATGTGATGTTAAAAATGGATGTGTTGTTTGTACAGCTGATGTAAAACAGCATTTTATTTACTGCTGTCTGCTTTATGCATAATGAAACACAGATGAATGTTTCTGTTAGTATCAAATCAGTACTGTTAGGCTTGATCCTGGGTGTGTAATGATGGGTTTGTGATCTGCATGTGACATAATTTACTCATTGCTGAGTGATTAAGAAATAGCAGCTCATCAACAACACGTTCGGGCAAAGAAGGAGTGACACGAGCACAAACAGGGCCCACAGTTGTGAAGTTGCGACATCTGTTTGGAACAGTGTCTACCTATTTCTGACTGAATGTAGACAAACACCACACATCCCATCACCCCAGACTCTAAACTGTATCATTGCAACATTTTTGGAAGTGAATGAATACATGAATACAGTAAAACATAAAACTTCCCAAGTTCAACTGACCCCCCGGCCCGACTCTCTCTTTTTGGACTAACTTCAACAATTTTCATATTTGACCTGGAATATTTTTTCCTTCATTCCAAATATGACAAGTTAATAGAAAATGTTGATAATAAAGAAAAGTGGAATACACATGATTTGGAGGGAAAAACACAGCACAGTGGATTTCAATGGGCGTCACTTCATCACACAAAAGGCCTCAATCACTGAGTCATGAGTAAAGTCATAATTTGTGCCAATATACAGTGTTTATATACTGTATATGTGTATATGGGTTAAGGTTAAGGGGTTAAACCTATACAGTGTATATACATATATATATATATATATATATATATACTGTAAAGGGTTAGTGTTATTAGTAGCACCTCTTCAACTGCTCATTAACGCAAATATCTAATCAGCCAATCACGTGACACCAATTTAAGTAAGGTCAAAATGATCTGCTGAAGAGAGGTGATTGAAGGGACTTTGAACGTGTCTTTTTTGAAACAGCTGATCTACTGGAAAGACACATTGATTTGCTCTCACTTTATTGTGCCGCATTAAACGGTTTCATGTCAATAATAATAATTTTTAAGATACACTTTTTGATATAAGTTAATCATCAGTGCCTAATCAGCTATGGACTTTGTTAAAATGAAAATGGGGATATTTGTAAGCACTATAAGCGCCGCTCACGTTTTGACAAAATCTTTCAATATATACTGTGTATATATATACTTTCTTGAGCAGAGGCTTGTTAAAGACAGTTCAGACAGGAAAAAAACATTCTACAACAATACCCTTGGGTTTCAGAAGGAATCAGAAACGGTTTAATGCCAAGTATATTTGCACATAGAAGGAATTTGACTTACTGGTGCATAACAATAAACACATTGACTGTCATAGCTAACATGAAGACCAATCAATACTTTGATTTTACAACAATCGGGTCAACAAGCCTTTCTCAGAGGTTGGTATAATATATGTGTTGGTGCACTCAGTGTTGAGCCAACATGTGTCCATGCAAGCCTGTGTGTTTTATTCATATTTGGCTCAAAGCCATTTGTCTCTGGAGATATCAGAATACCATTGTGCTTTTCCTCCTGATTACACACCCCAGTTGTTCAACACATTTGAGGGTAAACGAGTTTCTCGGGTTTCTCATTCAGAGTTGTTTTTTTTCTCAACTCTGAGAACGCCGCCTAACCATAAACACGCTAATGTGACAGCTGAACGTAAACCAATGGATCGGATGTGTGTCGATGGATCCAGTGACTCTTGTGCAACAAAGCATGTCACAGAGGAGAATCCGGTTGTCATGGCACGTCCTGTTACAGGCCTCAGCAGCGGTCTTCGTAGTTGATTTTTACCGGCTGCTGTTTGTGTTCCGCAGTCACAATACCAAGACGACCACGTGGTTGGACCCCCGCTTGGCGAAGAAGGCGAAGCCCCCTGAGAAGTGCGAGGATGGAGGTATGTAGGCTGCACTACTCAGCTGGTGTACTCAAGCATGCAGTCATTCCATTAACTGCTGCACATGTATTTACACGGGGGCATACCTCGATTGTCTCTGCCCACCATTACGTGATCCATCACTTCACACATTCAATCAAATAACCAACCAGGGTAAAAGTGCAGGACTTTGTCTTTGAATTGACATGTAACCTAGGAGTAGCCCTCAGCTTCATAGTCACATGACCTATTTTACCTGGAGCCATGGTCTACTTTGAGGAATCCCAGCCGTGCCTCCGTATCCCCAGGATGTTAATGTGGGCTTGAGTGCAGGCAGAGACAGAGAGTAGCCTCAGCTGAAAGAGTGGGACCCTTCCAGACAGGTTTTAATGGATTTTTACAGAATGCTAGTTGGTGTGTTGCTTCTGAAAAGCTACTCCAAGGTCTCTCGTGCGTGAAGAGCTCTTCTCTCTCTCTCTCTCTCTCTCTCTCTCTCTCTCTCTCTCTCTCTCTCTCTCCTTTCTCTCCCTCCGCCTGATATGTTCATCGGGGCATGACGTACATTGGCCATTCCAGCCGGCCTGCTTGTTGAAACCACAGAAATGTTCACAAAATCATTGTAGGCTCATTTTCACGGCTACTTTCTTATGCTAGATGTCCCAGTCATGGGGAAAAGAACTACACTGGTAACCACTGCTGCACCTCTCCACTATGTTAAATGCTTTCCAATGCCCAGATGATTGTCGACTAAACATCGTGCCTCGTCTTCCTCTTCTGTCTTCCATTATGTCGTCTTAATGCATGCTCCCTGTCTTTCTACATCTCTACTTAACACAACGCTGTTCTCTGTTTGCAGAGTTACCCTACGGCTGGGAGGAAATTGACGACCCGCAGTACGGCACATACTACGTCGAGTAAGTTTTATTGATTTATTAGTGTATGTATTTTCCAAGCACTCCAGCTGCCATTATCACAAATAGTGCAAATTGTTCTGTCCCACTTGCTCCTCGCAGATGCACATAACACACAAACGCATTTCACCAGATGGATCAGGAGTGCACATTACACTGTGTACATTAGCAGTGGACCGGCATAAATCAATACCGTCTAAAAATAAACAAATGGATGCAGCACACAGCTCGTGTTGTTGTATCCCGGGTGAGGAGAACAGTTGAAGATTCGGAATCAGGATCTCCCCGTTATTTATCAGTGGGTGGCAAAATTAAACTCTGCGGGTAACATTGCACCGACCTGATCTCGCTGCATGCAGGACGCATATACTGTATGTTTCTGCATATTGTTTGTACATTTGTCTGTGTGCAAAATGTGTTTCCACCTCCCCATCAGGAAATCGGTGAAACACGGCCATTGTAACAGCAGTGGAGAGAAGTGGGGGAGACTTTAAACTAGAATAGATGGAGGGAGGCGAGAGGGGGCTGGAAGGAGAGGTAGCAATCTGTTGTGATGAAAAGAAAATGGGAACACTCGCGTTCTTTTATTGCTCAGACTGCAGAAGGATCCCTCCTAGGTATAAGTGACAAGAGAGCGAGCAGCGCTCACTGTTTGGACAAGGAGAGTCAACGGCATATAGATGGAGCTTATAGCTGCCAGTCTTTTAGCTTGAAATGAACTCGCGATGATACAATGGCTGTGGTTTGTATGCCAGGGGGACAACAGGCTGTTTACCGTGTTGGAGAGGAACAGAAAGTTGTTGGCATTCGGGGGGTTCATTTCCTACAATATTAAATTGCTAAAAGCCATAGTTGTTCCCCCACATAAAGAGAATGCAAGGCAGCCTTTACGCTATTTGTGCTGTGTTTATGAATGTATTTATAATGGTGCCGCTATAGCATCCCTGTATTAGAAAATCACAGTTCCTTTATAGGAAAGGTGCATGCATAATTAACTGCAAAAAAAAAAAAAAAAAAAGAAGTGGAGCAGTAAGCTCAAAAAGTCTGAGGTGCGTGTTGTGTGTTTGTAAGTCTCTTAAATCTGAGCCTGTTTTTCTTGCAGCCACATCAACCAGAAAACCCAGTTTGAGAACCCGGTCCTAGAGGCGAAGAAGAAGCTGAGCCAGGAGACGGCTGCGATCCAACAAGCCGCAGCAGCACCTTCCCAAGGTAACAACAACACTGTAGAACCTGTCCCCCACTTCAACTTCCTCTTCCTCTTCATTTGGATTGTTGGGAGAGAGAAAAAAGAACTAAAACTTCCAGCATCGCTACTCCTACGCGTAACCTTTGAAAACAGCATGAGATATTACACTCTGCCTTTTGACGTCTCCCTCCCGGTTCGATAAGACATGCAAGTACATGTATAACTGTAATTACTTCCACAAGCTTTCTGTCTTTCACACTCGTCATTGTCTGTCTGGGTAAAAACACCACCACAAGAAATTCCAGTAAAAGTGAAGTCATCTGAAACTAGAAAAGTGCACTCAGTAGAGTGCAGATCTCCACTTAGGGGTGTCTGCACGACCACTGCTGTAATGCTTGATGGAATGAATACAACCCACATTTGCCCCCCATCTAGACATACATACATACCTACATACATACACATACATAGATACATGTATGTATGCAAGACTAGCCATGGACAGAAAGACACCGAAATGCACACGCACACGTACATAATCTCCTGGCAGAGATAATGAAAAAGTATGACTCTATTTGTTCCTGCTGTTTGTATGATCATTCCTCACTTATGGTGCTATTATTTTCTGACCTGGTGTTTACTTCACTATGTCGTATGATATTCAAGAACGGAGGAGGAGGTTTGGCTTCAATATTAACATTTTCATTGAGCTTATTCTGTTTCGGTACTCACTTTAAATCACTCTGGACGTTAGCATGAGTCTAACATGAGTCCTCTCTAGTCATGCACTTATAGTTTAATCACTTTGGCTTGTGCTCTGTACTGAGGCCAGCCCTTTCACCTCAGTCAGCGTGCTGTGACAAATCTGTTATCTGGGAATAGAAAGCAGTAGGAGTGTCGTCATTTAATGCACGTTCAGCCAAACGTGTAAACCTTCAAGTAGCCTCAAACTATAATAAATTGTCAAAATAAACTTTCTTCCCTGGTTCGCTCATACAACACAGGTTTTTGTCAGCTCTGCAGTAGCTGTCTGTCCTTACAATTGACAATCAATTTGTCTCCTGCAATAAACACTATGAATTAAGTATGTTTTCATTACAATGGATGTATAGTAGATTACGGTGCTGCAGTTGTGGAGATAGACAGGCTCGCTGCGCTGGCAGGGTTTCAGGGAGTGGGAATGGGAATGCAGGGGAGGAGGCCGGCTTTTAGCGGCGCTTGTGGCAACAGCTGGTGGAACAGCACGTCAGAGAGTGCACGCATAATCAGACATTTCTCTGCTCAGGTGTGTGGGGACTGAGGAAACCGCCCTGATTACCGAATACGCAACCTAGTGAGCTGCCAGACGATTGCTATAATGAAACAGTTGACAGTTACACCTCAGGCTATAATTCTGATTTTTACAGTTTTCCAAGATAGATTCCTCTGGAGATTTTTATTTTTATCAGGGAAATTACTGCTCTTATATATCGGAATACATGTTGTGAAATCGTTCAATAAATTATTAATTCTCACTTCATTTCTAATAAATCTTATTTAGCGATTCTTATTTTCGCAAAAGAACATGGTGACTTGACTTGCATTTTTATTCCAAATAACACTTTTCCCCTATCAAATTAATTAATGGAGAATTATTTATCTATTGAACATTAACGTAATTTATATGAGGTGTTGCTGCAGCTCAACCTACAAAGGAGGCAATGCTGCGGTGTTTGTCAGCTAGCCAACATAACAGGCGTTGTGCCCACATGTGTTGCTTTGTTCTGATAGGTTGTCTACATTGTGCGTTACTTTCCCTGTTAGTCAAGTCTTGGCCTTGCGACAGCAGTTGCTTTTGAATTCTGATGTTCAAGGTGCATTCCCATTGATGTAGTAAGAAAGATGTCTTCCCAATTATGCTGAATAATGTCTCTGGGGATTTACTACGCAATTGAGTCACACACGAGGAAACATCAAAAACCATGGCTGTTTGATGCGGTGGATCTGATGGCTTTGTCTGCCTCTGGCTTTCAAAGTCTGCCCACAGACGTTGGCACAGAGACCTTCCTTGGACTCTCCCACACAAGCACAGGCTCGCACACAACGCTCTCACTTCCTCCTTCTGTCTCATTCGCCCTCCATTACCTCTGTCTGTTTCTCCTCACACAAACACGCAGTCAAATGGTGTTCCCATGTTGAGTTTATGAAGCAATTTTAATGTGATTATGTAAATGAGCTCTGCTTGATCCATGTGACAGTGTGGACATCTGGAGTCCACACTGACTGTGCTAAGTTGCACTCACTTGCTCACAGCCGTCCATGTCTGTGCTGGATGTTTATGACCGCTGAACCAGTTGATAGTGTGAGAGTGGCTGCATTTAAATTCCTCACACACGCCTCTGAAATGTACCGAGCATTTTTAAAACTGAAGGAAATGAGAGGTTGTTGCGGTTGCTACTTTCCAGCCAAACTATAGAAAGCCACTGCTGTGATCTTGAAAATTTGATATGGAAATTGGCACAGTCACCATGGTCCAATCCCCGTGTGCGACAGAAGGAGATAAAGGGGTAGAGTTGGAGGAATATATGCAGCTTTATATTTACATACACAGAAGGGTAGTTTTCAAGTGAGGCATGCAGCACACATTCTATCATGTTCTTATTCTCAACAAATGCCATTGATAGACAAAAAAACAAGAATGAATTGATCCGATCAAGTATTGTGTTTCCCGAGCCTGATATCACTTAATCCTCCGTTGTTGTCCAAAAACTGTTAAAAACACATCAGTAAACTCTAGGTGATATTTTCCTTTACTTCCATGAACACGGACAGTCTAGATTATTTTGAGTTAATCCAACATGCAGTGTCCTGATGGCATTAATACTCACCAATGCAGCAATTGTGGCTGAAAAAAGTCCCCAGCACTGTTTGAGCATTTCTATGCTTAATCTGCAGCAGTTTGTTTTAGCCTCTTTAAAAGATAAAACAATGACAATTTTCTTTTACATATTCACATCTTCTGGAGGAATTAATGAATTTGGGAAGACAGCCTGAGTCATTGTTGGTTTTGGCCTTTTGATGGGATTTGTTGTCAATAAGAAAAACATAGAATAAGACCACCTTTGTTCTTTTAACTATTACTCTAATTGAGAGAATCGTCTAACCACATCTGTAACTATGGTGGCAGTGGAATTCTGTTTTGGGCCGTGTTCATTTTATGTTTTAAAACGTTTTTAAACGCAGGGATCATTCTTAGGAATTCTTATAATTAAATACATTTATTTATTGTTGACGCACATGACGCCCATGTCTATGATGTATAGGTATGATAATGTTTATAATGCATCGTAGACATGGGCGTCATGTGATATTGGCCTCATGGATTTAATGATATCTTTACTTCTTTACTTAAACAATAAGTACGCAAACAACAACCACTTCGGTAACATATAATCACATCATAATCAACAGTGATTATAAATGAAAGAAGACATTATAGAAACATTATAAAATATTACAACAATGGGAATTACGATACATTATGATCCTTGCAAAGAAAAATGTCACTGGGTGACCAGCTACTATGAGTATTATTAAACACAACCTTCTCAATCATTATAAAATGCTTTATAACGTTATAATGTATTGTGAATATCTATGAGTGGTTTCAACTTTAATTATGCAGTGCTATAAGTAGATTACAATGCATTACAAATATGTTCATAATGCATTGTAGACACGGGCGTCATATAAAGTGTTACCGTGATATTTTATGTATTGCCTATTTGTCTTTAAGGTACGTGTTTTTTTTTGTTGTTGCTGCATTTCAATGAACTTTAGATGTAAAGAAACATCTTCTTTAAAGAAAATGATGGATCATTTCTTAAGCTATAATGAAATTTCTGGCATCCCAGAGACAGACCGCCACATCGCATTCTGTCAATATACAGCACAGTGTGCATCGTTTGTCACCAGCTGGCTTCAGTTTAAGTGTTTTTGAGTTGAAGCTATAACGCAGTCCAGGCCAGAGTGGGTCAGTGGTGGGGGGGGGGGGGGGGGGGGATGGGATGGTGTGTCCATGATCTAAAATGCTGATACCACAGCAACGCCAGATAGGGACGCTGCTCAGTTTAATTCAGTGTGACCCTGACAGCCGGTTATCTCGCGTGTAGCGTATGCCACAGCCAAGCTGCTGGTCCATATTGATGTTGCCACTGACCTTAAGTTGATCCTTACTCAAGTTATAAAAAGTCCACCCTGACAAAACTCACTTTTTCTGAGCCACTGACTGCAGCAGGAAGGGGATAAGGGAGGACACTGCGCGAAATTGGACACTGTCAGAGGTGTTATGTCACTGTTCTGCTCTATAGTTTTGTATTAGCTGGAAGCACATAACAGTTAAGTAAATTAGCATCTGAAGCTAACATTGTATGTCATTTTATCTGTCTCTTTGTGCTCCTCTCTGCAGGGTTGCACAAAAAGGTCCCTAGTGACAGGTTTATCAAGTTTAGGCATGAACGTCATGCCTGTTAATTGTAAATGACTAATTACTGTTGATCCTCGGCACATAATGTGTGTCATCGACATTCAATGGATTTTGCTGCCTTTCAAGAGAGTTATGAATCTATTAAACCTATGTTGCTGCGTTTGATGTCGAGCTCTGTTCAGAGATTTCACTTGTGTTTTGATAAAGCTTGTCATTCCCTTACATAACACGCACACACACACATACTTAACACGCATGTGCATTTTGTTCGCAGGTAAGGGAGGTGCGTTCGGCTTCACTTCAGACCCCAGCGAACTGAAGGGTGAACTGTACCACACGGCGCTGAAGAAGAGCCCCCAGGGATTTGGATTCACCATCATCGGTGGTGACCGCACTGATGAGTTCCTGCAGGTGAAAAACGTGCTCGGCGACGGCCCTGCCGCCCACGACAACAAGATGGCGTCCGGTGAGCGAAACCTCTGCAGATGTACACGCTCTGCCGAAAGGGCATTCCTGTTCAAAGCAATGCTTAAATCTCACGTAGCTGGTTGGAAGATCTATGAGCTCATAGCTTCTAATTTCTGTGGTGTTACAAACAAATCTATTTTTCAGCCAACTCGTACCAGCTGTGCTACCACGATGCATCTGGAGGTATTAATTTGACCTCTGTAGTGATTATTGAACCTAACACTGTCCCATGAGTTCATCAAGATAATAACAACAACTCTAGCTCTGTCAAGGGTGTAGTTTTATAGCAGGCCGATTATGGTGGGTGTGAAGCCATGTGATGGCTTTGTTGTTTAGTTTCTGATCTTGCCATTGCCTTGCGGCTGCCTTGGTAAATCAACAGCTGTGAGCTCTGTGTGATGGTTACAATGGTACATTGTGACAGAAATCTACACCCGTCGCCCGCCCGTGTAGCTGTGGCAGAGAGTGCTGTTAAGGTCTGTTCAACAATAGAGCATGGGAAGGAGGGACAGGAGTAAAGTGATGGTAGACTGAAGGAATACGAGGATAAAAGGAAAACTAAGAGCTACCGGAAGTTGCCAAAATGAAAATATGAGAGAGCAGCGAGGAGAAAAAGGGACATTTTAGAAGAAAGATCCATCTGACAAAGGAAGGAATAAGACATGTAGAGACGTGATGTCTGGATTAAATACCAGAATAGAAACTCCACCGCCAATTTCTCTCTTTTCCGTTTCAGGTGATGTCATTGTTGAGATCAACGGGATGTCTGTGCTGGGCAAAACCCATCCAGAGGTGGTGCAGATGTTCCAATCCATCCATATCAATCAGTATGTGGACATGGTTCTTTGCCGTGGCTACCCGCTCCCTCCAGATGTGGATCTGAGCAGCGACGACCCTCTCCCGCCTCCCCCTCCCCCACCGGCCACCCAGCCCCAGCAGGCCCTGCATGGTGGAGAGGTGGTGACAGCCGTGCCCCTCATCAACGGGCAGCCGCTGCTCGTGAAAGGCGACGTCCTCCACGGCTCCTCTCAGGAGCTCCACTATGTCACCACGGACGCCATCGGCCGGCCCGTCGTGGCTGCCTTGCCCAACGGGAGGCAGGGGGAGCGGGGAGAGTTGGCCGCGGGGATGTTGCAGCCAGAGCTGGTGAGCGTGCTGCTGGTCAAGGGGCCCGGAGGATTCGGGTTCGCCATTGCTGACTGCCCGCTGGGCCAGAAGGTGAAGATGATCCTGGACTCCCAGTGGTGTCGTGGCTTGCAGAAAGGAGACGTCATCAAGGAGATCAACAGGCAAAATGTCCAAACGCTCAGTCACGCCCAGGTGGTGGACATTCTCAAAGACTTGCCAGTGGGCAGCGAGGTCAACGTGCTGGTGCTGCGAGGAGGTGAGAGACTGTTTGTCGTCTGTCTGTCTGTGTATCTATCTGACTGAAGACTGAATGGCTGTATGACCATGTGATGTTTCTCTCGCTGCCAGTGTGTCTCATGAATTATTTCCACTGCATGGTTTAGTTCGACTTGACTTTCTGTCCTGGTCCCTCTATTTCGTTTGTCCACTGTGGATAGTGCCCATTCTCAGCTCATCGCCAAAGCGACTCCTGCTTGAAACTGCGGTCACGTCATCTTCAGCGCGGAACTCGCTGAATCCTCACATTTTCAACCATCTGACCAATCAGTAGTCTGCAGTTATCTAACTCCTCATTCTAGTATAGGCGAGGTCAGCGTGCTGATACTGACGGGAGGTGAGGTGGTGCTGTGGCTTGTTTGGGGGCTGACCACTCACTGTTGTTCTGTAAAAGCCCGGGTGATGCCACTGTATCTGCGGTCTGTAGGTCACCACACCAGAGACTGCTGCCCTTTTTTTTTTAGCTATATAGATCCACCTGCACGTCCGTAGCTGTTGCATTCAATGATCCGACTGAGCCCTAGTTCTTGCCATCGCATTGCAGCGTCTTTGTTTTTTCAAACTGTACGTCTCGAGCATTCCTCCTGGGTGTCTTCACTCAACCTGGCTCTGTTTATGACGTCTCCCACGGAGGCGTAACGCAGTCTGTTACAATTCTGAGAGCGGGAATTACATAAGCGTGGGGCTGTGCTTGATTCAAAAGGAGAGAGGGAGGAGGGCAGGCACCCTTCAAATGCCTCATCTCCAGCCGCCCGGGGATTCACTGCGTAAATCGATGAACCCCGGATTGGCTTTGATCAGCAGCGGAGTGCAGGGGACTTCTAGATGCCTCTATAGCCATGGCCCCTTAAAGAGCCATGGTTAAATGTCTATAGAGGGAAAGTCCCAAGGGGCCTCCACCCCGTGGCCACGCCCCAACCCTCCTCTCTCCTCTCCCAAACACCCACTCGCCCTCTCTGCTGTGCCACCATCACCATGTCCTACTCCTCTGATCCACTGCATGACCCTACAGTCCCCACAGAAGCAGAGCTGGGCTCAGCCTCACCCAGCCTCCCCGACCGAAGAGCTAATGCCAGATTTAACCCTCATTAGACAATGGCCTTTGGCTTGGAAGAGGATCCCTGTGTTTGTGTGTGTGTGGTGGGCATCACTGAGCAGAAGAAGAGTGGAGCTTAGCTACAGGATGGGAGGAAAAGAGTGGGTGCGTTTCAGGTGTGTGCTTATTGCACTCGCCTTTTTGTATGCCTTTGATGATCCTGATGCTGGATTGGGAATTTTCGAAGTGGAGCAGAAAAATGCCGCTGCGTCTCCCCTTTTACATCAGGCTCCATTAACCCCTCATCAAGCCAAGTGTTGGTCCGGCCCCACAGGGCTGCCGGATCCAGAGGAGTGTTTGTTAATCCAGTTAATGCGGGGAGTTGAGTGGGAGGAAAGGGGGTTGGGGAGTGTTGGGGAGGAGGGGGCTGTAAGAGATGATCTGTAGGGAACCATCTGAGCGCTTGCGATAGAACGTGTGGGTGTACTGTACAGCGAACACAGAGAGAGAGAGAGAGAGAGAGAGGAGAAGAGAATTATGGCTCATTGAATTATATGCATGAATCTCTAATGCACTCACCCGCTTCCGTATCCCTGCAGTGGGCTTCCACTATGTAGCGAGCACTCCAGCACATGTACTACCTATATATTCCCTGTGTATCTTTTAATCGCACATGGATGCTTGTTTCCTAATGGAGCATTCTTTAGTGAGTACCCACACCTCTTGAGTTTAGAGCAGCTCGGAGCCGGTTTATTTTTATGCTGCGCCGCTGCTGCTTCTCAGTCAGAGAGGCAGTGCCATCTGGTGGAACGGTGCTTCAGTGATTGTTGTCGTTCCAAGTCTTTTCTGAGTTTCTCACCGTATTTCTGTTGTCTCTCTGTGTCTCTCTATAGGTCAAACGTCCCCTGTGAAGAGTCTAAAGCCTGTGAGTAAAAGCATATCTTTTCCTATTTCCCCACTATTGTTTCCCCCTCGGGGACTTATCCCGCAATTTAATTGCAGAGCTTTTTGTCTTCCAGCCTAACCAGTAAAGCCTCTGTTGCATCGAATTAAATGATAGCAATACATTTGAATATTGATTATGTTTCTGGGCGCCTCCTTTTGTTTGCTCTGAAAAACGATCTTAATTACTTCCTTTCAGTATTCATATTCTTAGGGCTATTGTCAGGGGATTGCAATGGTAATGAAGCATGGATGAGCCTCTTTAGATATGGTGGTATTATTAATACCAGAGTTTTAGATAAAGAAGTTGCCCTTTCTGCCTGAATAGGCCTGCCACGGGGAAAGCTGTAGTTCCTCCCGTAGATTTTAAATGACATTCAAATCTCATCGCTTAGCCTTCAAAACAATTGAAGGAATGTAAAGGGAAACAGCCTATGTTGAAGAAATTAATAATAATAAAAAAAGAGCCAGTGAAGTGACCGTTGCCACTTCTGATAATCTATCACCATCACATGCTCAGCCACCTCGTCGGTCCGGGATAATGAGCTGTATAGACTATATATAAAATGTGCGATGTCCTTCATAGGAGAATACTACAGGATGTGCGATCTAATGGTAAATTGGTATGTTCAAAAACAGTGATGCTTAAAGAAATGTGAGTGTTAATGGTACATGTATTTCTCTTCAGAGACAGGAAATGACGGCCAGCACAGAGTCTTTGGACGCTATCGTAGACTCAGCCCCCCAGGCCCTGCCTTACCACTCCAACACGAGCACCCTGCGCTCCGCCGACTCCCCCAAACGAGATGCCACAGAGATGTACCTGAAGTCCAAAGCCCTGCTGGACAGCAGACGTAAGTGAAGACCAACACGCCATCAGATGTTCTCAGAAGTTGTTGTTTTTTAACCTTGATCCCTCACCTCATCCACAGAGCCTCACACCAAAGACATAGATGTTTTTCTAAAGAGAGACATCGAAACAGGCTTTGGCTTCCGTGTTCTGGGAGGAGAAGGTCCACAACAGCCAGTAAGTAGATAGAACACTCTTTGTATGCATGTTTTAAGTATTTTAATCTCTATCATAAAGAAAGCTGTTGATGCAGATTCATTTGTTATGCGTTAATGAATATTAAATGATCTATTTCTTCAGTTCTGCGTTCCTACTAACCCTCTGTCAGAATGTTTTCCCCCAGGTGTACATTGGGGCCATTGTGCCCAACGGAGCTGCAGAGAAGGACGGCCGTCTGAGAGCTGGAGATGAGCTCATCGGCATCGATGGCGTGATGGTTAAAGGTCGCTCGCACAAGCAGGTGCTGGATCTGATGACCAACGCTGCCCGTAATGGCCAAGTTATGTTGACTATACGCAGAAAGGTCATCTACAGAAGTGAGTAACAAGCAGAACAGCATCTGACATGGCTCTCTTTTCGAAAAAAGGAAATAGCCTTACACCTCAACAGAAAATTACAAGCGACTACCTTCTGAATTCAAGTTTCTCTATTACACCGAACTAAGACGGGGTTTATTGCCATGTTAACTCATCGTAAAACGCACTAAGCTAACTCAAACTCACCAAACACGTCTTTGCACTGTTCCGACAATCAGAAACTCTGGTTTTGGTCGAAATCGATCCTTAATTCACAAAGTTAGATGTGAAATGATCCCTGCTCTACACGCTGTTTTTCCCCACCCTGCTGCAGCGGCTCATTAGTGGCTCATATTTTGGGATGCCATTTTGCTGATGGAAACATAACTAGTTTACAATCCAAGCAAAGACAACAAGGACGTCTTTTGAATGGCGTTGCGCCCCGCAGCTACTAAAGCTGAAGTAGCACTCTGTAGTTCCTCTTTGCCTTTCACGTCACTCGAGGAAGGAAGAACAGCAGGTTTTGCAGCTGCTCTCCAAGAGACGGATATGATTGAAAATGAGTGAATTTTCCCTTTTATACATTCATATGTATTCACACAAAAGCGGTCTTTTGCTTTTTTTTGATTAAATAAACAGCGAGCCATCCTACAGTGTGTATAGATTATGAAAATGTTATATTGCTCTAAACACCAAATGTCTCATCGGGCTTTCCTGAGAAAAACAATCCTCAAGAAGGCACACAAGAAGTGATGCATTTTATATTTTTACAGAAACATCAGCTGTCTGATTGTTAATAGATGTAGCTATTAATAGTTGAATACAGAGAAACTGAGTACTGGACATGCTGTTTGTTTTCTCACAAGTGATCCCAGCCTCAGTTATGGATTCAGGGAAGAGAGGCCTCGCACAGAATGTTTGAGTAGTTATCTCTCCGCCAACATACTCACCGGTAGCCACTGGCAACCACTTTCAGCATCCAGAATCTGTAGATCATACAGCTGCACGGTGACATCGGTTAAACTATTCAGTTAGAAGACACATTTTATTTGCATATTTCTTGTACATAAACACGCATTCGGCTCCAAAAGGCTTCGTAAAAAACCCCAGGAATGCACACACACACACACACACCCACACACACCAATACAGAGTTGCACCAAACACAAATTAGTTTGCATCCGTTTCCGTTTATTTCAGATGCAACGGAGGAAGAGGCTCAGGAAATGGCTCCAGTGCTGGTGAACGGTTCTCCCAAGCTACCTCGCCTGCCAATGCCCAGCGCTCTGGACCACGAGTCGTTTGATATCACGCTCCACCGCAAAGACTCGGAGGGATTTGGCTTCGTCATCCTCACCTCCAAGAGTAAACCGCCGTACGGAGGTGAGAGTCTGGTCCCTCAGATCCTGCATCCTCATTTTACGATTTCCCATATGAGCACAGATTTTCTTTATGAACACAGCATATTTCTTTGAAATTTTGATTTGTAGATGGAAATGTTTTTGGTCCTTCTGACAAGGTTTACTTGTGCAAAAATGGATGAGCCCACAAAAACTTCATTTTCATAAAATCATGAAGAAAATGCTGCAGTATATACACATCAAAGACAATAGGAGAAAGTAAATGGTAATAGAAAATGGTACTTGTACTTGTATAGTCTTCCGACCACTCAAACACTTACACTACATGTCATTCACCCATATACACCCATTCACTGATGGCATGGGCTACCATAATATGGTTTATTATAGGACTACCTAACCATTCATACCCATTCATACACCGCCGGCACAGCCTACGGGAGCAATTTAGGGTAAAGTATCTCGCTCAAGGACCGCCAATGCTCCAATTGAAGGACGCCACAGTCACCATTGAGCCGCAGAAAGTCTCCTTTATCCCTGATTTCCTGGTGTCATAGCAAGAAATAATATATTACAGTTTGTAGCAGTTGGGTTTAAGCTAGACAGTCATATGTGGACTGAAGGAGACTCACCAGGGTTTTTGTTAGCTGGTTTGTATTTAAAATTATAATCCAACATTGATGTGTTTCTCTTTTGTAGCAGATACATACTCTTGAAAGAAATTCAAGACATTAAACATAATTTAGTTAAACCAGAACAAAGCTATATATATATATATATATATATATATATATACAGTATATATATATATATATATATTTCAAGGTTTTCTCAACACCCACTCTATCTGGGTCTCAATGTCTCATTTCTCTCCATATCTTCAGTTATTCCTCACAAAATTGGTCGAATCATTGACGGCAGCCCCACCGACCGCTGCGGCCTGCTGCACGTCGGAGATCGTATCTCGGCGGTCAACGGGCGCTCCATCATTGAGCTCTCTCACAACGACATTGTTCAGCTAATCAAGGAAGCCGGCAGTGTTGTCACCCTCACTGTGGTTCCTGAGGATGGTGAGTGTCTCTGCAGTTATTAGAGTGGGATGTTGGTCCTGCGATCGATTCGGCCCATTCAATTTTTAAACTTCATTGTCTGCAAGGGGGAAATTAGTTTTGCAGCCATCAAACCAATCAGCATAACAAAAAGATATGAATGTTTTAGTAACAGTATTAAGAATTTAGTTCTTAATGGAGGTATTTGAAATTTGAAAAGAAGGGGGGCCCCTGTTCCTCTTAAAGGATTGAGTGAATACAAATAATTAACATATTACGTCACTGTAATGCTAATGCATTTAGTAGGATATCTAAGTCTGATTATTCTCAAAATTGTTGCAGCCTAAATTGTATTCCGGTTGTTTATATGCATTGGCATTTTTTACACTGATGGCTGTAATGTCAAAATTCATTTTAGAATACAAGGGTCCTCCATCCGGAGCCAGTTCAGCTAAACAAAGTCCAGCGCTCCTGCACAGAGCCATTGGACCAAGGTCCGCACTGCAGGATGAACGGTAAGCATCTGCTCCCACTCAAAATAAATGAATTACAGTAAAAGCAACACAAAAAAAAAAACAAAGCCGACAGTCAGCAGTGGAAAATAACCTTTGAAATTGTTCAAACATCTTGTGCATACTAACTCTACTGTAACTATATTAACTACCCACCCAGTGCATAGCTGGCCCTTGGTTCGTACCCTGGAGAAGGGAATGAAGGCAATCTTGCAAGTCAATATTTGAACTCCCACTATTTGTTCCTTAAAGAACAAAATATCCCCAAGTGACCAACATGTACCTTTTATAAAACATTTTTACTTTCACATTAGGCCATACTGAGAAAATGATTGTGCTGCCTTTATGTTTTTTATCTCTAAATTGGAATGGCCAACTCCTCCTTCACCGCTGGTGCTCTGACTTATGACTCCCACTTTTGCCCTGAGGAGGGTGTACACTGACAGGGAATGCAACTATAACTCCTCTACAATTGAACATAAATGGTTATGGTGATGGTAGTATTAATAGAATGCTTCTTGCCCGTACAAATTCTAATGAAAGCACTGTTACACTTAACATGAAATAAAGTGTGTGTACGTGGAGGAGGGAGGGTTGCCCCCAGAGCAAACGGCGAGAGAAAATGTCTCTCAACAAAGACGCCGGTGTAATAAACATAAACAGATAATAATGTGTACAGTACAGAACATACAGCCCTAAAGAACAATACAGCATACAAATTAAAATATCAACACATGAAAAAGCCCCTATTTAATATCCAGCATTAAATTACATTTTAAGTTTTGCATAATGGCTTCTTGTGTTTGTGGCCTGCAGCATACTGTTGACTGCATGTGTTACTGCAGTAATACATCTGGGTTTTTTTAGTTACAACCTGGACCTGGAAGAGAAAAGAGATGGAGTCAACTGGTCTGAACACAGAACTCTTTCACATAGTGAGCAGGGAACGCTGTGTGTGACAGGACCCAACCAGGTAAGAAAGTCCTCTTATTCCTTCCACTATATGTTCCTCTTTATGACCGTAAACATAAAGATGTTTTGTTGGCTTACAATATAGCACCCTCTCCCAATAACATAAAGCTCTTTTTTGTTCCATACAATGCAGTGAGTTCATGCATACTGCGTTCATTGGGTTTTATTTCTGGAAGCACTACATTTTTTATATTATTATTCCACCACATCTTTGGTCATTCAACTCCAATTTTCCAATGTAGAGACGTAATTCAAACTGATTCTTTGATTCAGTGAGGATATCTTTACTGTTCCACTCATAGAAATAGAATAGTACGGCCATTCCCACTCGAATCAATGTAGCAGGATGGTCAAATGTACCATAGCCAGTGCGACCGTTGCAGCGGGCTACACTTACGTATAAACGAAACCGGCTTCCGTTGCAGACTCACTGAGGCGAGGTTTGGCGGTAACGACAAAAAGAAGCAGTGGAGTAGTTATATTATGAAACGCACTCGTGTCACAGCGAAGGAAAGCAACAATTCAGCAACAACAAACGGACAGCTCATTTTCTGTAACCGGTGTAGCATTACAGCATGGTGGAATTAGCTAGCTAGCTTGCAGACAGCTGGCTAGTGTGTTCGAATCCAATTCACTTTCTATGGTTCCACATCTTTCATACATTCATTCAACTCAATATAATGACCGCAGTCTCACAATTGTCACTCTTCATACATAATTTAGTTACAGAAGTGTCCAAAAGCTGCTGCATTGACATCGCATGAAAACTAAGATCAGACATGTCTGGATGAAATTGCTCTCATTCTCACATTTTTGACTCCACAAATGAAAGAAATCTACATCATCACAGACTTTCAGTGTTTGAGCAAGAATGCAGGGGCTTGAGGAGGTGCGCCTCAATTTAATTTCCATGAAATGAACTGTCTGACCCGGGAGTCACACATCAGTTACCATCACCACCATGGCATTCACTCTGCAGTTTCTTCAGAAATTGCCTTCTCCAATTAGAATTTCACATGATGTTACTCTCCAATCAATACAAACAAAGAATGAAGCCATTCAGAGAAGACTGGGGATCACTAATGACATTTCTAATTAATAGAAAATGATCCAGACTCCGAGACATCACTAATCTAGAGGCAACTTTGTACTCAACAGACACAGACGAACAAAAAACAGTCAATCGTTAAAAAAAAGGGTCTTTAAATCGATCTTCGATCGAAAGAAAACTGTGCCTTGAATGAAAATGTTTTTATCACGGAATTTATTGCTGTTATGTATATGTTTTGTGCATTTGAGCGTGAATGTCGCCACATGTCTCTGTTTGTCTGTATGTGCGCGTATTAATGAGTGTCATCTTTATGCTGTGCAGGGTTGTCTGACAGTGGAGTTAGAAAGGGGCCCTCGGGGCTTTGGCTTCAGTCTGCGAGGGGGAACAGAGTACAACATGGGCCTGTACATCCTGAGACTGGCTGAGGATGGAGCTGCTGAGCTGGACGGCAGGATCCATGTGAGTGCTTCTTTTATTCAAATGTCCATCACTTTTTTTTTGGGATTATTCTTTTTAATAATTTCCTCATATCTACTCTGAACAGAGGAAAACAGTTGTTTTGGTAGTCATTGTTGTTACAAACTGAAAAAATTAGACACTCTGAGAGACTTAAAAGTTCTACTTGTTGGTATTTTTCATAATATGTGTGACTTTTTTTGGAAACAAATTCGTTCCAATGAACCCCGTGACCTGTGGAAAGTTTGAGTTCACTCTGTGAAGGGATTATACTTCATCAAAACGTCTAAAGCACTACTGTGTTACTCCCACTGGATGGCGTGAGCTACATATTGCCAATTTTGCTATTCTTAGAATCTTAACAGTGGTGGGGCTAATAGCGTAAAGCTTGTCTCCAGGGTGCTACAAGAAAGGTCATGGGATCATTACCATCCGAGGTCAGTACCCCAAGGGTTCATGAATATGTTTGGAGTATTACATTGAAATTAAAATGTCAAGATGATGCATCTTGTGTGCACAGTTGAGCTTGAGGAATGCACGTGGACTTCCTTCACATTTAGATTGTGGTGTGGGGCTACAAGAAAGGTCAGGGGGTCACCAAAATCATTAAGATTCTTTCTCTCTGGACAATGAATACCCGCACCAAATGCTGAGAGCATTTAGCCAGTTATGTTGAGATCTATCTGTCTGTCTGTCTGTGCATCCATCCATCTGTCCATCCATCTGTCCATCCATCTTTAGTGGGCTTGTGTACGACACTGACCGTATCCAGGAGGGTCACGCTGTAACCTACCCTGTAAATTTTCTGTTCGTGGAAGAGGTTCAGTAGAATTTGAATATCCCCATTGGGATGAAATTATCACACCATTATTATTATGATTATTATAATGAGAGGGGTGATGGTTCAGTGAGGGAACAGAATAGAAGCTCCTGGCGGAAATCAATCTAAGACTTGCCAGACTGTGATCTCTGGGCGTAGCTTTGCCCATCCGAGGGTGGAGAGGAACGTCAAAACTGATTCCATCCTAACAGACTGACATGTTTACACACAAGTTATTTTGTCAACTCCAATAATAGAGGATACCTCCAGGGTATTACAAAGCTGTGTGTGTATGTGTGTATGTGTGTGTGACATGCATTTGAGATACTTTGATGTGTACAGTATGTGTGTGAAAGCATACCAATTCTGTATGTTTGAGTGAAAGTGTGAATGCACGCACAGCAGAGTATGCTAAGCTTTGATGGGATGTGTCTCTGTATATTAATAGTTTTTTTTCTGTGTTACTGACAGGTTGGAGATGAGATAGTGGAGATTAACGGGGAGCCGGCACGCGGCATTTCCCACACACGGGCTATTGAACTGATCCAGGCTGGAGGAAGCAAAGTGGTACTGCTGCTGAGACCTGGGGCGGGCCTGGCTCAAGATGGCAGTACGTACTGTATACACGCAGCTTATTCAATGACAGTTTCAACATACAGAACAGACTAATTCAAGTTTTCCTCTCAGCTTTTGGTTCACCATTTGATACACACTGCCTTTGTGCCTCGAAGGTTATTGCTCAATTTAAAGCCTATTTTGGGACAATGAAGGATAGTATAGTAGACAACATTAGCACTTAGTTGACTAAATTAAATTTACAATTGTAATGTATTAATGACATATAATCATTTCTTTTCTTTGAGAGGTATTTTCAGTGTTTCATTATAAACCCCTGAAAGGAAAAGCGTGGGAAATACATTTATTCACTTTTTTGCAGAGAGTTTAACAAGAAGATTGATATCACCCTCATAATTGCCTGTTGAATATGAAACTACGGCCAGCAGCCGCTTAGCTTAGCTTAGCATCAAACTGAAAGCAGTAGGAAACAACTAGCCTGGCTTTGCCACAATTCACGTTGACAATAAAACATAAATTAGAAACTGGATTGTATTTATTTACTAAATGTGTTTAGAGGGAGGTGCCAGCGACAGTAGTTAAGTACATGTTGAATCCATAAATCCTAACACCTAGCTGATGATAATGACTTTATCTGTTTGTTAATTGGCGGAACCTACTTTGGAATGCTGCCCTTATTGATTTGAATGTACTTTATTTATTGACTTTTTTATTTATTCATTCAATTCTAACCATCTAATTGCTTTTGACTCTTCTTCTCTTGCCCCTGATGCAGGTAGTACCACTTCTTCTACTGTGTGCTACTACACTGAACATCAACACTAACATCTTCACTGCTTTTATTGGCCTCTTCTCTTTTACCTTGGTAATTCTCCTTTTTTCTCACATGTGTTAACCTCTCAGTATAATCTGCTTTTTCCTCATTTCTCTCTCTAAGTTTCTGTATCTTGTGTGTGAGCTTTTCATTTCTGTGTGCCCTTACGGTGTCTCCATGTAAAATGTGTGCTTCTCTTACAGGTCGACACAATCAAAAACTCATTTCACCCACAGGCTACTCCAGAGAGGTGTTTCTCTCTGATACATCACCACAGTCCTCTCCATATCCCACCGGGGCTTCCACCTTCGCTTCTTCTCCCTTCTCCGGCAAACTGAAACATTCCCACAGCTGGAGCAACATCTCTCCACGGGGCATCAGGCCCCGTATCCGCGGGGGTTTAAGTTCTGTGAAGGAGAAGGGTGAGTGGACCGACGAAGAGGTAGAAAGGCTCTCTTCCGCCTCCCCTGAGCATGTGACCTTCTACAGGAGGACCAGGCCCATGAAAGACTGCAGAGAGCTAAGCAGCCCAAAGAAAACCGTGGAGACGATTTCTAAAGCCAAAGAGCAACATCACAGACCCACAAAGACTGAGAGTCCGGCAAAGGAAGAAACACTGAGCAGGAACAGGATGTCTCAGACGCAGACAAAAACAGGATCCACAAGCCCTGGGAAGTCTCCTCAAGCTGGAGAGCAAGTGGCTTTGACAATGCAGCTGGCAGAGCATCAACGAGGCCCTCAGAGGAGATTAAAAGACTCTTCCAGCAGGGAGAGCTTGGATCATGAAAAGAAAAACGGCAAAGGAGGGGATCTTGAGATCAGGAGACATTCACGAAGGCGGGAGATGGAAGGCAGAGTAGAGCAGACCAGGCCTGTTCGTGACCAAGAAAGTTTTAAAAGAAGGGTGGCGGGAGAATCTCACTCCCACAGGACATCTCCTCATACAGTCAGAGAGGGTGAGAAAGGTAAAGGTAAAGACTCAGGGCAGATAGATGCTAATGGGAAGTACAAATCCACAGAAGACAGGAACACAAGTAAAGAAACCACCAAGAAAAGAGAATCACTGTTGTCTTTTAAAGAAATGTGGGGTAGAAAAGGTTCCGTAGTTTCACCAAAGGAGGCCAAAGGAAGAGAAGACACGTTTTCTTACTCCAAAGAAGTCAGTGGTAGAGAAGACTCTGTGGCCTCCATAAACAGCTCTCCAGGGACCCCGCAGAGCCCAAAGGGACCTATTAGCCCCGGCTCTTGGAAAGTGCCCAGCTCAGCCAAAATCCTCTCCAAGACAGAGGTCCTTCGTGACCCTTTGTGATAGAATATTAAGAATACTTAGCAGCACCCTCAGCGGATTGTTTTTCTGAGTTCTTCCATAAAAGAGAGACGTGCGACATGGTGCCACTTTTATTACCTTTGGACCATGTCCACGTTTGTCTTTAGGTCTTTTTTGGGAGTCCTGTGACATCGCGTGACGGCATGTAGCAGCTCCCTTCCGCCTTGTCCGCTGCTTCAGCCTCTTCGGCGCGGGACTTGAGCATGTGCGGCATGCTCGGGGGCCTCGCCAGACAAGACATTTTGAAATGTGAATACATGTGCCAATCCTGGGAGCCTCCTGTGGAACGACGACGACGACGACCAACAGCGCTTCACCCATTACAATGCAATGACCCATATGCAAAGAAAGGCCTCTCGCCTGTAGTATACACCAAGTGTGACTGTCATCTCGGGTTTAATTTTGCTCTCGGCCTCATCGCGGGGTATTTTGACTCTCTTCTTTTTCATAAGCGTTTGCTCAACTGCATGCAGTCGATCCTTCCGTTTGTTTTACTGCACGTGTTCTGCACATCGCCGAGGATGATCCCTGTTTCTCCTTCATAGTTCTCATTCTCAACACCAGGCAGATTTCTAATACAATCCAGCAAGCATTCACTTTACCCGGGGACTCTAGACTGTTCTATGGTTACAGATACAACTCTCCTCCGTACAAACAGTTCCATTTAAAATGACCAGAAACTTGTGGTTTGAGATCTTGTTTACCATGTGTATGATAACCAACCAGTGTGTAATTTATTGAGATGATAGAATAATATGTATATGTAGCTGTACCTAAGCCATTCCACATTTTGATAGAGACTTCAAAGATTTGTCCCATGTTATCTGACCTTTCACCTCTGTATTTCAGTGGTAGGAATTACCACGGATCTTGTAGTTCATGAGATGTATAGGTAACGTGCAAACCGCTGTACCAAATGTTTGCATTCGCTCAAAATGTGTCTCATTGTGAAATAATATATATATATATATATATATATATATATTTGAATGTGTCATGTTTTGCAGATTCTAACTTTTAAATATCTATTGAAATTCCATTGCACTGCATCTGCCCTCGTAGCATAACAGAATGACCATGAGTTGTATTTAATTTGTGATGCTGACTTGCTACCAATGCCATTTTATTATTATTGTTAATGTTATTTTATAAAGCTATTCATTTTTTCAAAAGAGAAGAAAAAGATTCACTATTTAAGGCCGACATGGCAATTTATGTAATAACGTGCAAGTTGTGAGTCATGTCCCTGATGCTTTTACATTTGCTGAGTACTGGGGAAAAGAAAAATGAGGGTTTTAAATAGTATGTATTTGTCAATCCTGCTGTATAATTATCTGACAGGGTAGCTTGAAGGATGATGGAGCTTAGAGAGCGATGTGGTTTACTGAGGTATTAAGCATGCTGCTGATGTAAGACAGGTATACAGAGATCCAAACTTCTTACTTATTTTTAGGGTTGTTGAGCTGAGATAAACAATTGGTTCCAAGTTTTTGAATCTTCTGCTGTAAAAATCTGAGAAAATTTAATTTACTCAACTCGCTGATACAATTGATGAGATTAAGAGATATTCAGATGAGCTCAGGGAACACAAGTATAGTAGCAAACATGGTGTACGTGATGGTTAAGGTCTGTGATTGACTGTGATAAGAGCCTGTGATTGTATAACGGGAGTTTTCAGGTTAAAAAAATACTCGAGAATGCGCTGTGAGCCAATCTGGTAGGTTTTTGTGCAATAGTAATAGTGGTTGGTTGAGTAAATCCAACTCTGAGTGTTAGGTACAGGCAGTTCTCTCTGGTGAGTCAGATAGTGCCCTTTTTACTGTATGACCCCTGCACTGTTGTACTCCTTTATGCTTTTATTTTGACCGTGTTTTTTTAACTCATCTCTGTATCATACTGTGGCCTTGCATCGCTTCATTAGAAAAACAATCCTTGTGGTATCTTCTACATTCTGTTGGAACAGTAGATGTAAATGTTTGTACATTGTACAGCACCTTTATAAATACTTGCTGAGTGCTCTTTCGGGGGGGGAAGGGGGGAAATAGAGGTATATAGAATCGCTCCATTATTTTTTTATGTAAAGAAAGAGAAAATATTTAAAAATGAATTGAAAAGGATAGACTATGGCCTTGACATGGTGTTCCGTTCATGCACTGAAAAATAAAGTTTTACTGAAATCACCCTCTGGACCTCTTCGATCCATCCATCAATCCAGTATCCTCCACTTAACCGCGACCGCAGGGGCTGCAGGCTTTGCAGGATTTCCACACGTTCCTCCTCCCAGCTCTTCCTGGGGGACCCCGAGGTGATTTATATAACCAATCAAGCGACGTTCTGGGTCTACCTTGAGGCCTCTTACCAGTTGGATGTGCTCGGAAAACCTTGAAAGAGAGCCGTCCAGGGGGCATACTGATCAGATGCCCCAACCACTCATGAACAAGAAGACCCTGAGATACTTGAACTCCCTTGCTTCGGGCAGTTACTAACTCCCAGACGGTGGGCGCAAGCCACAGTGATCTGGCTGAGAACCATGGCCTCAAACTTATAGATACTGACACTCGTCCAGACCACTTCACACTCATCATCAAACTGCACTGCATGTTGAAGGTCACGGTCTGTTGGAGCCAACAGAACCACATCATCTGCAAAGAGCAGAAACGCAATTCTGAGGTCCCCAAAACCGGACGCTCCACTTCCCTTGGCTGCGCCTTGAGATGTTGTCTGTGAAAATCACAAAGAGAATCGATGACAAGGGACAACCCTGGCGGAGGCCAACACCCACTGGAAACGTGTTTGGAAACGTGGACACAGCTCTCCCTTTGGCTACACAAGGACTGGATGGCTCGTAGCTATACCCCATATTCCCGCTGTATACGCCACAAAAGACTTCTCGGGGGGCACACGGTTGTAAGCTTTTTCAAAGTCCATAAATCACATGTAGACTGCATGGGCAAACTCCCATGATCCCTCCAACAGCCCTGCAAGTGTGAAGGCTGGTCCACTTTTCAACAGCCAGGACGGAATGCGCATTGCTCCTCCTGGATCTGAGGTTTGTAAAATCAGTCGGAGGCTCCTTTCCAGCACCCTGGAATACACTTTCCAGGGTATAGCTCTTGTACTGAAAATAAAATACACATGAATTATACATTTTTAATTAAAACCATGCCATTCTATTTCTGTCATAATTGTTCACAGAGTAATCATGTATAGGTGTCATATTTCGATTCATTTGTTTCTCGCTGCAGTCCAACGATGCCGTCCTCTCATATGTCAGAGCGGCATGAGCCGCTGTTACTATGGCAGATTTCCTGTTGTCATGGTAGCCGACTGCTTTTCTCAGCAGAGCTCGGAGAGAGCCTCGCTGCACGCGGACGACGCTTTTTCAATTACAAGAGAAAGATCAGAGGCATCCCCTGCCATGCGTGCGTCATGGCCATTAAATATCCATATTTCAAAAGCAGCCATGGAATCACGGGGTCGTATATCTGAAATGGGAACACAAATGAAGCTGAGGCACACGACCGAATGGCAGATACTGAGTTAGAAATAGGTGTCGCTGCAAAACACCAAAGCTGTTTGTCATATACTACAGTACATGTTTGTTCTTGTCAGTTGTTGAAGTAGTTGTAGCTTTTGTTAGTCAAACGTTGATCAGCTGCAGGGAACTTCTAAATCAAGGTTCCTGACACAGTTGTTCTGAATGCTTCATTGATGGAGAAGTACAATGCATCTGTGAATGACTGCTGTGTGACCCTCAGCACTTCCATTGTGTTCGTGGCCTCACTTTGACCCCACTTTGAATGAGAGCGGCCCGGTCAATCAGAACTTGATACGGCCGTAGAAGAGCAGCCTTAATGGAGGACTGGTAATTGCGTGTGGAGTGATAATTGACTTGAAGTGCTTAAAAATGACAGAAATTTGATGGTCTGTTTCAGGAACGGGCATGAAACGATGGAACTGGATTATTTCATAGCCGAGGTAAATGTTCTGCAAAGAGCTATTGTCTCTGACCTGACATTTTACACTATCGGTGTTTTCAGAAATACAGCTTTAGAAGAAGATCTGAGTTTTAAGCTTCTCTAACCCAAATGTTTTTTTTATTGCCGTTTCTGTCTGAAATCAATCACATTCTGTTGCATTCATGTGGAACAAAAGAACAGATATGGTTCAGATTTTATTCAAATAAAAGATACATTTCTTAGTTTCGGCCTGTGCAACCATAAACTAAACAGGTAAGAAGCAGATGCTGTTAGCTAGCTTAGATTTATTGTAAGTTATTGGTGGAAGCATATATAAATAAGTTATCTTAAACACATTTCTACCATAACCAGCACTTCTTCACTTTTTTTTTCATTCACAATCAAACACACATACAACACATATTTTCTTATGTTTCAAATGGTGCAGTAATAATGGGCAATGTAAACATGTCAAATGGCTTGAGTTACCGTTTGAGCAAAATAATCTTGTGTGTGTGTGTGTCTGCATAATTACGCAGAAACTGCTGCACTGAGTCACGTTTTACGCTGGAAGTAAACAACAACACATGATTTTTGCGTCTTGATTCGCCTTCATTCGTCAGAGCGTTTGGGTTTTGATGCAGTTCATGTTTCACACCACCAGGTGTCGCGATTTACAGTTAAGTGTCTAGTGCACATGGTTGAAGACCTGCACACATCAATTCAGATGTGAAGAACATGTCTTGACTCAAATAAAGATTCTTATAGGGCATTAGAAGTTGTTTTTGGAAGAGATCATTATCTATTGTACATATCTGACAGCAGGAAAGGCAAACTTCTAAGTCATATGAAGACTTTTGGTCACGCAGTTTCAGAGGGGGAAAGGTTCTCCAAAATCAAGCCCTTTGTAAGATACCGTCATGTCATAAAGATGTGTGTAATGATGTAAATTACGAGTGGAGTAAAAGGTTATGATCCTGCTACTCTTTACATCACATCCCTGGTATGTCTGAGCGTGAGAACAGCAGGTGAGCTGGACAGATGTTAATGTTTGGGTGGCAGCCTCTTTCTCGTTATCTGACGTGAAGAGAAGCAGATGCATTCTTCTGGGGTTGGTTGATGAAGAAGGGAGGTGTCTTAATCTTTTACTTGGACAAGGTGTTTGGGGAGATAAGAAGAGCAGGCCATGCCACAGCTCTCGGAGGCTTTGAACTTGAGAAGTTGCTCACTGGAGCAGCATTTTTTTACCAACTAATGCTGTTTTTTTAGATGGCCTTAAAAGGAAACCACAACGTTTTTACAGGTCATTTTTTATTGGCTTTATGTCAGGTTGAGTATGCAGACCAGTGAGACCTCAGGCTTCTTTTAATATCCCACTTTCTAGTGATTCAATGTGCCTAATCAAATAACAAATCCCCTATCCTGGTGTTACCTCACTGGTTCACTGGCTTTTAAACTTTGTCATGGTTTCCGTCTGTGTTTCTGAGGCAACTCTGGGTGGAGGATGGAGATGGGCCCTGTCAACAACTTGTATGGTTGAAAATGGGTGGTGGAGTGAACTCCCCTGGAATTGACCCAAGTGAGTGTGTGTGAGGCAATGAGGCACAGCCCCGTTGCTGAAGAACTGTGGAATGTCAGACAATAACCCAAACCTCAGAACCAATAACCAAACCTCAGAACCAATAACCAAACCTCAGAAAGTGTCTCAGGCTCTGTGTCATAGTGTAAACTGCTATGAACCCTCACCATCACAATCCCAGACATATTTCTTGTTTATTTGTTTGATTGTTATTATTAGTAGCAATAGTAGTACAAGTAATAGTATTATTATTTGCCACGGTCACATGAATTGAAATTTTAGTATTCTAATATGTATCATGTTCCCCTTGGTGAGACTTAACAAACGTGTAGGTCTGTAACTGAATATAACAGAATAGAATAGTTAAAGGTTTCCCCCTTAGAGGACCCGGAGAGGGGATATCCCCATTTTTCCAGGACACACCCATAGTTTCCCAATTTTGGCGTTGCACAACATTTGAGGAGACGTCTCCACTTCTTACGGGAGGAGGGACAACTGAGCGGCTCCTACTGGTGGACATACTGAGAGTAATGTTTATTTACTACTGTCTATCAAAAGAAAACTCACCTCTTTTAACCATCAGTTGTTCAAATATCTCCTCGATTTTATTTCCAGGTCTTTGATCGCTCTGAGACCTCTGTCTGTGCCTGCAGTCTAGCCACACGTTGGAATGTCAAGATAGACCTTTAAAATTTGAAATTTCCTGTTTTGCCTTTCAAAATAAGACAATTTGTTTTTTTCCCAGACAGCTAGTTGAATCGATAAACAAGCATCAGGACACAGAAAGAGGTAGAAAAGAAATAAAACAATGAAAACAAACTAAACTAAAATCCAATCAACCCTACAGGAATACAAGAAGACCTACAGGTGAGTGTCACATATGTGTGTATATTAATATGTATACGTTAATGTTTTAGATTAATACGAAATGTGTGTTCTCTGTAATTAAATAGTACTTTTTTTGTTGTTAGTTTAGATTAAATATATGTGTTGGGGGAAAATGTCACTGCTTTTATGAAGAGGGCCATTCTTTTCTCATTTCCTGCAATGCTAACTAGTGCAGTTAACTTGACACACATAATGGATAGTAGTGTGTTGGTGCGTTCAGGGAGGAGCACTGTAGACCGGCAGCGGAGCGGCTCGCGTCTCAGGAGAACTCGGACTGACAGAGACAGAACCTGGATCTTTAGTCTCCTTCTGCAGCCCGGCATGGACGTTTTACTGGACACCTGTGGACGGCGACGAGTCAAGTTTCCGCTGTTACTGTACCTCTTCGTCGTGGAGGCAGCAGGTCAGTTTAACATCACCGTCTGCTTAATTAGATAATTATCAACGTACCAAGTCACATGAGAGTTCCAGCTAATACAGCCAGCCTGCGTTTCATGTCGACTCCACAGAAAAATAAATGTTCCTTACTGTTTAGTCTTATACATGCCTTGATTAAAACTTTTTTATCTACAAATAATAATTATCTACTAATTCACTCCGTTAGATCCCTGAGTAAAAAACATGAACAAATAACAATATTATTATACACTCAGTGTCCACTTTATTACAACACTTTGCACGCTTGTATGGTGCCTGTTTTCATTTTTTTTTGTTTACCTATAGGTGTTTTAATTCATTTAATAACATGTTTAAGCATTGGGGTCAGAGTCAGTGTTGTACTCAATGGAAAGAACTAAAATTAGAAACACCTTTCAGTATTATAGTCTAACACCACCTATTGTAGGTAACACCACCTTTAACTACAACCTCAGTAATAGTTCAATTTACACATTTTCAAGAATGTTGATCTTTGATACATTCTGATCTTTGATGAATGTTTTGGGAGGTCTGTACCTAACAAAGTGACCGCTGAGTGAATAAGACTACATCATAGAATAGTAGGGACCTGCTGCGTTCTTGTCTCCGTATGACTATCCAAGGGCATGAGATGAACTGTCAAGGCTAGAGATTAATCTGCACTCCCTGAATAGTTAAGAAATAGTCTGTGGGTTAGTCAGAGATAAGACAACTCCATTATATGAAGATGCCAATGTAGACTGTAGACTGTACACACAGTTGATCAGGTTATGGAGAACCTCTTGGACCAAAAAAAGACTTGCTAGATTAAAAAATCCTTTATTAATGATTTATTAACATTTATAACTGCAAACCTGATGGATTAAAAACCCTTAATTAACGATTTATTAACATTTATAACTGAAGACCTGACATTTAAAAACACTTAATTAATGATTTATTAACATTTATAACTGCTAACCTGATGGATTAAAAACCCTTAATTAACGATTTATAAACATTTATAACTGAATACCTGACATTTAAAAGCCTTTAATTAACGTGCATTAACATTTATAACTACAGACTTAATGTTTTATTAGAAAGTGAGAATCTGACGAGTATTTTTAATGGATTACCAACGTTTAGAATTGCATTAGTACACTTGACATTATCCCATGTATTGTATCATCTCTATAAAAGCCTAAATTGTAAATCTGACATTTTCTTTATATTTTTGTTTATTTCATCGCATTACAGATTTTCAGGTGAACTGTTTTATCAACTGATTTTGACTCTTTGTCTCTTTTCTTCTCCAGCCGACTGTCCTAAACCTCAGGCAAGGGAAAACATTGTCTTAACCAACGAAGCACTTCTGATGAATGATTTTCCAGAAGGTGTGGTCGTCACTTTAGAGTGTGCTAATGGGTTTGTTGTTGAAAGTGGCTTTGGGAGCATAACCTGCACCAATAACAATTGGAATGAACCAGATCTCTCCTGCAAAAGTGAGTCCTGTCTTCTTTAATTACTGACACCTTCATCAAAGTGTGTTTGGAGTTCATACCGCATGCCTTAAAGTCCAGCAGCAATGTTCTGTTGTTTGTGTTTGCATTACAGAGAAAGACTGTGGTCCCCCTAGCCCTCAGCTCAATATGAGCTTTAATACCAGCGACGGTACCCTGTTCGGTGCTGTTATAAAAGTAGTTTGTGACAAAGGGTGAGTATAAATATAAAAGCTCACTGCTATTTGGTTGAATTATATTTGAAAATAAATGTATTGAAATAAGAGGCGGCATGGAGCAGCTCCAATGACCACACAATGGGCGCCCTCAGTACATAGTCATGTCATTTACATACATACAAAGCATCTCTTTTTGCTGTACTGCCAACAGTTGTCGACCAAAAAGGGCTGCTGGCAAACAGTCATAGATGAAGTCAAGGTCTCTGAAGAAAACAAAATAGTCTGGAAAGACAGATAGAGCCGTCACAATAAAGTCTTACGTTATGGTTTCACTGATTAGAAACGTGGCTTTTCTTTTGCCAAAACTGAGGTAATTGTTTATACCTCTTGACTTAGCTCCGAAAGAATGCAGTTTCAAAATTACCTTTCCGTTGCATTACAAAACCTTGGCTGTATCCAATTCTCCTTAAATAAACAGTCCTGCTTTATTTCCCTCCATCTTTCAACAGATTCCAGATCATCGGAACAAGCTACAGGCAGTGCTATGCGACCGGGTGGAGTCGAAAATCCAGGTGTAAAAGTAAGTGTCTCTTGTATTGTGTTTCAAGAAGCCCAAACCAGCAGCAATAAAACAATGGTTTCTGACAACAAAAGCTATTTTTGAAAAGACTGTTTCTGTCGTTTTAAAATGCTGATGCAGCACTGGTTTTGTTTGCCCCTTTGTGACGTTCTTCTTCCTCGCTTTCCTCGGACTTAGCAGCACATTTCATAATATGACAAAAATATGGATTATTTGTTTTCCAGTCCAAATTACTTTGTGATAAGAACGTGTGGAAACACCTGTTTGTCTGATTCCTCAGTTGTAACGTGCAAAAAACCTAGTACAGTGACCAATGGCAAACACTCGTGGGATTCTGAAGATGACCCGAAATACGGAGAAATCATACAGTACGTCTGCAACGAAGGATACGCCCTCGTTGGGAATGACAGCATTGTGTGCAGCGAAACTCGTGACTACGATTCTCGGCCTCCCGCGTGCCAAGGTAAGCACACTCCATCCACAGCAATTTAATTTATTGTATTGTGTTTAGCGTATAATCATAACAGAAGTAATCTAGAGACACTTTTTCACAAAGAGCAGCTGTTGGCCGTAGCTTTATCATTTACAGAGACCCAACATTCCCCCATGAGCAAGCACTGGGGCGAAAAGAATAAAATCCCATTTAAAGGGTAGAAACCTTGGGCAACACCTGTCTAGACTGGTTGGGTGAGAAAAACTGTTCTCAATTATCCAGGATGGTGTGTTCAAGGACATTCAGATATGAATTACATGAGAGTTTGAGGGTGAAAAGTATTGCATTCACCAGTTAAAGCACATTATTTGAAATGTAAGCGAAGAACAAGAGCAATACCCTCATATGGGTGTATTAAATAATAATGGGATCCTTAATAAACACAGGCTTGGGAGATCAGTAACCAAACAAACAACATGTTTGTAATGTACTGTAGTCAGTTAATCACTGAACATGCAGCCTTCGAGCCTCTCTAGACACTAACCCCAGCTCTTTTATGAAGTGTTCAAGATTTTTCTATTCACCGTTCATGTCTGTGCTGACTCCAAGTTGTTTGTTTACTGTCACTGCCACACTTACACCCTCCTTAATGGCATAACAGTCAACTGACCCAAAGAGCAACCTGTCATTAGGGAGTTGGTCAATGATCATGTGTCCTTCACCCACATTGAGTGTAGTTTTCTACAAGCGGATGGTTGAACACTGCGGGGCACCAGGCTTGTGTGGGAAGTAAATTGTTAACTGAACAAGAAGCATGGCACGGCTACATTCTGCATGTAAACTAATATGTATATATATATACAGTATATATATATATGCATGCTCCATCACCAATCTCATGAATGATCAACGGTACTTATTTCAAGATAAATTCAGTAGTTTTCTTATTCATAGGAGTGACAACAGAAGATAGAACTACAACAAAAGTGCCAGCACCAACATCTACACCTCCAGCACAAGGTATATACATTTATAGAGAGATAATTACTGATATTTAATTATCTCTCTATGAGATGAGCTCGCACAAGCGTGAGCACTACTCCTCCAGGTCTCGTTTGAGAGGAGAACTTTGGCGGAGATTCTGCAGGCCAAAGAGCTGATATCAGATCAGCCTGACCTCACAATCAGACAGCAGACTAGCGGAAAGGGAAGCAGTACATGCGAAGCTTCTGTATTAGCTGAACACCAGACAGGTTTGGCTAGCAAGATGACGTCATGCTAATAACTTATTTAGCTTTTTAAAACAACGGGGACAGATCCAGCACGGACAGTTAGGGAGTGAGGGATGAGGAGGTAAGGAAACATGAGAACACCAGGACACACATGGAGAACTCTGTCACGCTACATATTAGGCAAAGTGAACATCTTTTCTTCTACATAGTTGTCCTCAGTCTCATCTGCTTAACTTGGTCATGGAGGCATCAACATGTAATTGAGATGTTAAATTAACAGTGGAAACTCATCATAGCTTAATTTAACATCAGTATTCATAATTACATTTCATGTTTACTTCTCCTGATCTTTACCTCCAATAACAAGGTCCATAGGGGCATCTCAATACATAAACATGTTATATTATATTATATTATATAAGTGCTATTTACTGCTTTTTTTCGTGTTGGAATAAATGTTAAATATTTAACTGCAAAGTAGTAATGCGTGTTTGATACTTTCATTTTTTGCATTAAATCATTCTGGGATGTTTGCTGAAATTGATAGGATGGCCCTACCTAGAAAATTTTCCTCCAGCCACCACTGCTTCCATTTGAAGGCGGTACAAATATTTGAAGACAATGATTATTTTCCACAGAAGTGTCCACATCTACAGATCCGTCTGCCACACTCACAGCTCACAGAGATAAAACCGTCACAACCAGTGCGACACCAACAGTCTCACCTTCAGTACAAGGTACAGGAGAGTGTCTCTGAACAAGCCGATCTGCGCGTAATTAAGTCGAAAACCCTTTTAGGCACAGCACGTGAATGGATTATGTGCATGCTTCTCGAGGAACTGCTTCCTCAGCTTGACGAATCACTTTTATCCCGTCCGAGCTTGAGGAGAACTAAGAATCGCTCTGATCTCTCTGTTCAAAGGTGGCAGAGACATCTCGACAGCTGCGGGTAACGCCACAACAACCGCTGAGACATCGACGACATCATCTTCACTTCCAGGTATTGAATAGCTTCGTGAAAAAGCTGTCGTCAAGTTTGAATCTTTGATTATTTATACTGTGCCTCCCATGAGCAGATGCTTCCCAAGCAACTCCAGTTTGATTAGACAACTCCAGACTTCTACCCGTTGTGTCTTTTATGAATTACCCGATACGGCCCCGATGGGCTTGTCACTTTGAAGGTACAGTGTTTGTTTATTGGATTAAAGCCAAAGTGGCAGAAACGAGCAAACAACTCATTCTTAACTCTTACCTTTCTGTTATTTTTTCTTTTTATGTAACTGATGACTGTAAATTTAGATTTAGTATCGGGGTGAAATACTTTCCCCACTATTTATTTGGAGCAGGTATCTACATCTTACCCATGGCTCCTTTAAGGCATAAGCACCGGATCTGCTGGTCAAACATGAGATTTAGTACTGGTCCTTATAGGAAAATAATAGATAGTGGAAATTATAGGCAGCGCAGTAGTAGAAATATAATGACTCCTGTGCTGTATACAAAACCATTCACGAGGAGAATGAACGTCATCAGTACGGTCAGCTGACCCTGTAAAGACAATTCCTGAAATACTTTAACTAACAAATTAAACTTAATGAATAATTCAGCATTTTTGTGGAATAAGCGTATTTGCTCTCTGGCAGAGACTTGGATGAACTGAAGTGTAAAAACAACAATTACCATTTTATTTGGGGGTAATGGGCCAGGCTATTTCTTGGCTCTGAGGAGTTGCCAGGCAACCAGCGAAGATTCCAAGAAGCTACTGCTCACAAGCAACATAAAATCACAAAACCTCCATAAAGTGGGGAAATGTGTTTTTACACCTTTGAAAGGAGCTTGTAGGGGCATTTTGTTAGGCTAGCCGTTTCCCGTCTTTGTGCTAAGCTAAGCTAACCAAACCAACTGTTGGCTGTAGCTTCATATTAAACTGATATCAACACTCTCATTTGCGCTCTCGAGACGTTGACATGAGTCATTATTTATACTCTGCATTTAACTGTGCTTGTTTCTTTCAGAGTATATCCCTGTTATAGTCAGTGTGATATGCGTCTCAATAGGTAATGTACTATTTTTCCTCTTTGAAAGTCAAACTAAAGCTAAGTTTTGCAGTTGAAATGCAAAATACAATAAATCTTTTTTTTGAATTATCTTCTTTACAGCTGTGTGTGTTGTAGCGGTGTTTTTACACAAGTTTCTTCTGAGGAGAAAAGGGTGAGATCCATTATTTTACTCTTAACTCTTTAATGCATGAGCCATACTAGACTACGCTTTGTATCCCCTTTGCTCTTTCTGCTGTTTTTACCATAGCTTATTATTTGTACTCTCAGAACCTCAATGCACAGTAGGTCAATACGAGCACATATTTCTGTGAACAAACACAGCATGCAGTGAAGTATTATGCACTAACCTAGTAGAAGCTTTATTTCTTCACCTGCATTTTAGTTTTGGAACTGTTTGAGGAAATGTAGATTGTGCTGAGGAATGAGGAAAGTCAACAGGAAATCCTTTAATAAAAGCGGTTGTGACTTGGAAGTCAGAGCCAGGAAGAAAATTCCGTTCATGCTGGAATGAATGAGGATGTCTTCAATGATTCAGTTCAATGAAACGCACAGGAAACAGGCCGACACATTCTGTGACTGAAGTGACAATTTACCTTTGATATTCATGTAACCTGAATTTGACGCAAAAAAAAGACAAAAGACAACAACTTGATATTCATCTCGGGAAAGTTACTTGGATATAAACCAATTAGCTCAGACGCAGCCACAGAAATCTTACTTACACATAAATCTCATATAATCATGTGCATGCTTCACATATTTATTTGATTCAAGGTTAAACCTTATTTTACAAATTAAAAAAAAAAAAAACTTTCCTCACTCAAAGTGGCAATGACTAAAACTAACATTTTGGAATACTAATTCAGTGTGCAATAAAACCCCATATGGTGAACTAATACAATTTAACATTAAAAATAACTCAACAATTCTGACACAAATTCCTTATTTGATGACACCATAGATCATATGACACCAGAGAGGACCTGAAGCCTGAGTTATTACAGTTCCAAAATCTTTAGATTGCCTGCCTGACTAAGGTACCTGTCACTTCCTGTGTATTTACTGTTATCAAGAGATATGTTGGCATAAAACAAGCAAAATACCTCCAAAAATATATTGAAGAATTGTTTACTTGTTCATTAACTTCTCTGAATGAAGCTAACGTACGTGGGAGCATGAAGTAGATAGAACAAATGATGCCAGAAGAGCATGAATGGTGTGCTGTTTCCCATTTTATTTTTGCACCACTGTGTGAATGAAGCTCAAACTAAACCGCTTTTTTTTCTTCATTTCTTGTCGATGCCAGCTCTGCAAATGGACCGGGGCTTCTGTGACCCTGGAGGGACGTGCCAAATCAACTGCAGCAGTGCCTCTCTGAGTCGATGGGGGGGGGGGGGGGGGCAACTCTCTTCAAATCATATTTCACTTCAAATTGCAGATAATAAAACATGTAAAAGTATCTTAATTTAAATGATTTTTTATTGCCACATTAGTTTGAATAATTGTAAATATCTCATGCCACTATAGTAATATTTGTACATTATTTATGTAATAAACTGGAATGAACTCCTAAACATTGCCTCCGTGTGCTATGAAGTTTGTCAAAACATCTTCGTTAGTTAGTCTATTGCTTTCGAAGTGTTGCAGATGTGCGGTTTTGTTTGGAGGACTCATGAAAAGGTGATTCAAGAGGAACACAATGTGGTGAATTCAGTTTGCAGACTGAAGTGGCGACTGATAAAGATACAATCAGCTGCATTCTTTGCCCCCTGACTTTCTTTTTGACACTGTCTATTGTTCTATTGAGGGGACATTCTCAGGACAGGGTTCAACATGTTTTTGACCTTCAATGTGTAACTGAATGGAGCACATTTGATAAGTGAGTCAGGCTGGTTTTGTTAATGCAGCCATCGCTGAAAAACCTTATATTTGAGATCAAACTGCAACTACCAGATCTGAAAGAAGTGTCAACAAAGTAAATGTTAAATATAGGTAAGTCAACATAATATTTAAAAGGGGAAAAGCTTCTAATAAAAAAAAGACTCCTGGAGCACATATTAAAGCATTGTTCACTTGCAAAGTAGCAGTTTTTGTGCCATAAAGTAAAAACTCAATGGTTACATTCTCAGTGGTGGCAGCAGTGAAGGATCAAGCTGTTAATCCTGGCAGGGGTGTGGACCAGTACAGAGAAAACCCCCATGATGAAATGTGGTTACACTGTTTCATTGTACCCGGGTCTGTTGTAGTGCCAGAGGCTTTGAGTCGGCCTTTTTGGGATTTCTTGTGTCGACTTCAAAAGAACTAAATCATTTCTGGTCAAGTTTTACAGTTTGCTTGAGTGTATGTGATTGAGATTTAGCTGGAATGAAACGATGCTTTAATGAACTTGTGAAATCCTCTGGAAAAGAAAAACATAAACATAAACAGGATGTGCACTCTTCACCGTAGTTATGTGGAGTACCAGAGAGGAGGGTTTCTTTTCGCAGACAAACTTTGACAACAGTGGTGGTCTTTGTGGAGTCCATCAACCATCTTCCAAACCCAGCCCCTCCCCCCATAAAGAACGAAGAAGAAAAAAACCTTTTATGGCATCTGATGTTTTTATGTTGGAGCTTCAGGCATTTGTCTGTGGAATTTAAACAATTATTTTGAAGTCTGCAGATATTCTATATTGTTCTTATTGTCAACAGATACCATGAAAAGACCAAAACCAACAATGAACTGATCCTACTAAATATCAAATTTAGCAACTTTAAACCATTGTTGCTTGAAAACTATTCAAAACCACATCACTGAGCTGAACTCAGTATCGTGACAAATCCACAACGGAAAGTACTTTCCCACAATAACGCAATTTATTCCAGTTTGACTATCATTTGTTAGAAAACCCCAGTGCCCAGCTGTTTTGGAAAATTATTTTGCCCTATTTTTGTCCATATGTGTGACCTGTTGTTGAGAATTTACGTCTTGGTCTGAAAGGGTTTGAGGCTGTTGGAAAGTATTGAAGCGAGACAACAACACAACACACTGAAACAAGACCCGTGAGACTCAGTGAGGCTGTATTTGGGTGCTTTGAGGAAAATGCCAGTACATCTTAGTTTAGTGTGTTACCATGCAAATATTTGCTAATGAGTGATAAACACAAAGTACATGGGCTTGTGAAAATTGAATCATAAGTCTTAAAGTATTTAGTATTAAATCATTTCAGTCTCGACCAAAGTGGTGGCCCGCCTGCCCGGCGCTGCCATCCCGAGAGCCACTGCACTATCATCGCTAAAAATGGAGAATATCACCAGCTTTATCTGTTCAACAAAACACCACAACAGAACCAGGTGAACAAAAACACATGAACACAGGCAGATACATGTTGTGAGATCAAGCATATGAAACTCATTGCTCAGAGCTTAGTCACCCTCCAGTCCACACTGTGGTTTCCCCGTCAACACACACCAGGCTCTGGCCCAGTGATCCAGCTTTGCAACCATGGTGATGTAGTACAATTAAATAACAATGTACATTTAAGCCAGTTAGTGTACTATTTTTATATCACAGAATAACCAGCTTAACTGGTCTTCTTCTATCGCTCCAACAGTCTTTTGTCAGTGGCTTCACCAGAGGAAGTAGAGTGACAGCAGGAAATACGTCGGGTGTCCTCCCTGTCTCAGCAAGTTTTCCACCCTCGAAAGTCAGAAGCATTGATCTCTCCTCCTCTTTTAAAGCCTGTTTTTCAACTGAACAAGTACAGTACCACACCCACCCTAGCTCATATTGTGTCATCACTGTCAGACAACCTTGAAAAACACGTATCTCCCAAACATCGGGCTGTCAGGAACTTGTTTGTACGCCAATCAGGCATTTTCAAAAGTATCCAAGTTCCGAATTGTGAGGCCTTCACGTGACAATGCGAATCTTTCACTCAGCACCTGCTGTTTTTTGGGGTGTTTTTTCCATTGGGTTTTGATGAGTCCCTATCCTGTTTGAGAAGGACAGGAACATGGTGATGACATGTCCATCCTCTTTGATGGGATCCTATTAGAGGAATTCACTTTGTGCATTTAACGGCTCTTCAGAAACGATGAGGACACCGATGTTACACTTTTGAGACTCGTCTAAAACACGATACGTTTATGCTGTACAGTAAAACAAATAAAAACACCATAATGTGGTTGTAAAACTTAGATGAGATTTTCATTATGCATTCAGAAACAATTGTGGCCCTTCATACAATATGTATATTTATTAAGATGATGTGCAGGGATAAGCATCTTTTAGGTACTTATTCGCACATTTATAAAGAATTGTAACCCCTCCCATTAAGCATTTTACTCATAAATACAAAATTAAATGAACTAAATGTTTGAACTGAAATGAACAAAAAGCTTCGCGGAGCAGGAAAATAATTTATTCTGATATAAACTGGTATGAACTATTTGGTAAGGACATTGATGACCAGATGAAGCTGGAGGTGAGCTGGAAGATTCAAGTCATATCCTGTTTGAATTACATCTTAAATGAATTACACGATGTTTGTCTGTGGAAAAGATCATTTTGCTCCTTAGGAAAGTCGTCAAGTTTGTCATAGATTTGTGCTATAATCACTTAACCGATCAGTGAACTACATCTCTTGTCTCGCACAATATACGTCACCAATACCGCCGTTAGCTTGGCGCGCTAGCTAGCTAACTGTTTGTCATCAAACTGCTGAAGTATAAGACCGTGAAAATACGTCATTTGAAAGACTACAAACGCAAAAGGGGCAGAAGTGAAGTTTCTCGCTGAAGCTACCAGGCCTGTGTGTTTCATACCGGGATGTACTCGCACAGAAAACGGGTCGTGCTCGTTCTTAGCTAAGTTACCAAATCAATCTCTCTCTTTGAGGAAGTTTACAATCAAATACAATGCATCACAGCTGGATGTTAAAACTGGCTCCCATAATATTAACATTTCAAGATCATGAAACCATGATCATCAGTCTTTATCGTGTGTCAGGGCACAAGGAGGAGGAAATCTGCCCGCCAGCCCTCCATGAGACCCTCAACTTTATCCCGCTCCAGCCACGTGTTAAAGCATGACTGGGGGCGGATCTCAGAGGAAGTAATGCACTTTTACACTTTGTAAACAACTCAGGCTATAACACTTTTCTGTGGCATTACACACGAACCACGACTGGAGAATGCTGTGTCACACGCAGCTTTGTTTATGATTTATGTATCTGTGAATCACTTCCATAGTTACGCACAGTGTGGTAAGTGGTGAGCGGCTATGGCACAACTGACTTTGCTTCGTGGAGGGGAAAAAAAAGGAGAATGAAACAGGATGAAAGCACTCGATGGTGAAGGACTCTTTAAAGTTGTTCTCGTGAGTAGGGCGGATGGAGATCTTTAAAGTTAAGACAAACAAGACATAAATGGTTCCCACTGAGGCCTCAGCATTAGAACAGAAACAGATGTTGAGCGTGAATACCATCAGCGGCGCAGGGATCTCAAAGTAAATGTTTACATGCTTTTAATAGAGCCGCTCTTACTGTAAGCACCTTCAACAGTATGGATTGTTGGTTGTACTTGAGCTTCACACAACTTATACTTATATACAGTGTAGATGTATCGCTAACAATGAGCGCATTAACTACATGTCAGTGTTGAGCTGTGGTTCTGATTTTTAAGGACTAAACTTTTATTGAACAGCGGCCTTTTTCACTCAAAGTACCAATTATTAAATAACATCAAATGTATAATAAAGGAGGTATACTGTCGGATGGTTAGCGCTGCGTCTTCAACCCCTCCGCTCACACTTTTCCGGCGATGGAATTTCATCGGCTGCTTCAGACAATTTCTGTAACTTCTGTGAAACCGACAATCTGACATTCACACCCACTTCACGCAGCCCCCACTTCATTATTTAGCCATTTCTGTCACTCTTTGTGTGTGCAAATGTGTGCCACACTGTGTATGCCTTCCAGGGAAGATTGTCTGAAGGTGTGCGTTGTTATGCCTGTATTTAACCCATGATTGCGTGTCACCATTTTTACCTTGCCTTTGAGTGTTGACTATAGACACGTTTGCCTTTAGACGTTGTTGGACGACATTCCGCACAAACTAGTTTTTGATTACCAAAGGTGTTACGGATGGTTCTATGTCCTGCTGTGAGTGTTTGTGCTTGGGTGTGTGTGTGTGTGCGCATGTGTGTGTATTCTGTGTCTTTTGAGTTCTAGGTGCAGCTCCCTGACGAGTGATTGAGGGCACCTGGATGAAGATGTGGGTTACCTACATAAGCGCCTCCTTGCTCCGCCCTCGCTCTCTCTCGTCTGCCTGGCACCAGTCCCTGGTCTTCAGTTAGATTTGCACATTACGGTTTATGTGTCCTGTAATAAACTGGCACCCGTGTGTTTCTGA